AGGGGAGACTATCAACTCGGCGTTCATAAACCCTCTCTGCAAAGGAGGTAGTCGCATGGTGGGTTTGGTATATACAGTGTTCTTCATTGCAGAGAAAATATCTGCCTACCTCGTCTTCATTGAGATAGTTGATGAATTGATGAATTACAAAAATATATCGCGTTCCAGTTACGAATGTTGAAAACAATATCCAGACTATTCATAGATTTATATTGCATGTAGGCCTCATGATTCAAATATGAAATTGATACATTCAACATCCATGTACTTCATCTGATGATATTAATTTTCTGATTCAAATGTACTTCGATTAATATGTGATGTATAGTTGCAAATCCGAGAAGCAGTGTTTGATACTTGCCACTCAATCGGAGAAAACCACCCAGTCAAGACGAACCGAACAGAAGATCCGCAAAGAGACCTGACCACAGTATACTTTACAGAATTCAGATCATTATATTCGTACGGAAGGCAATATATTGATATCCATTCTCAAGAATACAGATAAGACAGATATTCACCTTTATGTCTCTATGGAAACACGACAGGTACCCTTACGAGGGGAGAGTATTAACTCGGCGTTTATAAACCCTCTCTGCAAAGGAGGTAGGCGCATGGTGGGTTAGGTATATACAGTGTTTTTCATTGCAGAGAAAATTGTTGTTTATCTGCCTGTCTCGTCTTCATTGAGATAGTTGATGAATTGATGAATTACAAAAATAAATCGCGTTTCAGTTACGAATGTTGAAAACAATATCCAATATTCTATGTAGGTCTCACGATTCAACTTTGAAATTGATCCTTAGTTTAAGATCCGAGCAGCACATCGTTTGGCCTTCAAGGTCCTCAATATAACCCACGTACGTGATTGAAAATGTGGAAGATGCCTACTGAAAAAACACTATTCGAAAAGAAAGCGGATATGTAGCAATCCAGTTACACGGACGTTGAATATATTAATCAGGTATGTCTCAGATTCAACATCCATGTAATTCATCTAATGATATTTATTTTCTGATATGAATGTACTTTGATTGTTATGTGATGTTCTGGTGCAGATCAGAGGAGCAGTATATTTGATACTTGCCACTCAATCGGAGAAAACCATCCAGTCCATATGAACCGAACAGAAGGTTCACAAAGTGAACTGACCATATATAGTATACTTATGGTGACTAGTTATGTTATATACTTGGTATATTATGATTTGATAGTCTGACATTGATGTGACATCTTTATAATATAATTACAAATCAAAGTCTTATAATTTGTATCAATTGTATCCACAATTTGGTGACCACGACGTGATATTATGGAGCAATTGAGCGAAGGCGAGATCATACAAATTTTAGAAGATTTCAACATCCATGTTAGTGATTCGATGGGATTTTCGGATATGAAAGAAATGCTGACAGAGTAGGTACATTAAAAAAGGACCAATTCCGCGAAGCCGACTACAGGAGCATTCTTTCGGAGATGTCATCAAGAATGGTATGTTTCGAATACTATTTTTACGAACAAGTTCGATAGACTTGAAGAATTGTGCGAAATTCTGATCGTCAAATTTGATGAAAATAATAAAAAATATGATTCGTTGGAAGCAAGACTCGATATTTTGGAAAGACATCGTGAAAGTACAACATTTCCAAACAATATCATGCCTCATGACCTCATCTCCTCAGAACACACATCAACTGGACATTCTAAGAAAGAGCAAGAATCAATTAAATCAATTAACCTACCAACTTTCTGGAAACATGAGCCTGCATTTATGGTTTAATGTTGCTGAATCGATTTTTGAAACTCACGGAATATCTTCACAGAGAAATACATTTGGGACGTGATTTCAATGTTGGTCTTGTAGGTCTCTCTGTAGGTATATGTTTTTTTCTTAATATCCATTCGCCTCAAACACACTGTGTTTTTCTGCTCACCCTGTAATAAATTGAAATATTCCATTTGGTACAAGATATTTGATCTGCCTCTGGAATTCAGCTCACTCTGAATATGATATTTTTAATATTCATTCAGCTCAAACGCACTGAGTATTTTTCAAATTTTCATCAATAAGATTTTGATATGGCTCTGATTCTTCAGGTCGCCCTGTGATAAATTATAATATTCCATTCGGTTCAAGATATTTTATCTGCCTCTGGTATTGTAGGTCGCTCTGTGTATATGTTTTTTCTGATATTCATTCCTCTCGAACACACTGTATATTTTTTCAATTTCTTTCAATAAGATTTTGATCTGGATCTGATTCTTTGGGTCACCCTGTATATGTTTTTCCATATTTCATTTGGTTCAAGATATTTCATCTGCCTCTGGTTTTGTAGGTCGCTCTGTATATGTTTTATCTGATATTCATTCGTCCCGAACACACTCTGTATATGTATTCATTTTCATCCAACTCATGCGTCAACTGTTACACGTCATCGGTCATCTGTCACCGGTCATCAACTGCCATCTGTCATCGGACATCGCTCTGTATATGTTTTTTCTGATATTCATTCGTCTCGAACACACTGTACATTTTTTCAATTTCCATCAATAAGATTTTGATCTGGCTCTGATTCTTTAGGTCACCCTGTATATATGTTTTTCGATATTACATTTAGTTCAAGATATTTGATCTGCCTCGATCTAGTTTTGTAGGTCGCTCTGTATATGTTTTTTCTGATATTCATTTGTCTCGAGCACACTGTATATGTATTCATTTGTCACCGGTCATCAACTGACATCTTTCATCGGTCATCGTTCATCGTTGATCGGTCATAGGTCATCGGTCACCGGTCATCGGTCATCAAATTGCAGAATTTTTAAATGTCATAAATTATACCGGGCTTAGTTTCAGAAGATCCTCGGCAAGTTTACTTGCGAATTCTACAGGAGACATTCTTGCTAAGAAGTCTAAAGAATATCGCTGAAGGGTATGTGCAGCAATCTCTCACAAACTACCAAAATATTTCGAACCAAATTGTGGGTCACTGAAGTTTTTTATGAAAATACTTATCACGATAACTACATCATTGGCTACAGATCTCACTTCTAGTGGCATTCAAATAACCACTGCTCCATATATAATTATTACTCTACCACAAATTGAAAATATGTAGGATGCAAGAGTGAAAATAACGTGCCCATAAGTTTTGAATTGACTCGGCCGTTACTTGATGGAAATCTATCGCGAATGTAAAAACTTCAAAAACGATAAGATTTCCACAAAATTCTTAAACACACTACATGTTTCGCTTACACAGTAGCTTCGTCAGGTGATATACTGGTACAATGAACTGAACCAACGTTGGCTTGCTCATTTTTTATATATATCCTACTTTCCCAACTTGAAGGATTAGTTCCCTCTGGACAGGATCGATAAACCTCCTTTTTCGGAAATTAGGCACAATATCTACATTAAAATGTGGTGTACCGGATTAACTTGAAAGGGTTGATAGCAAATAAATTTTACCTACTAAGAATACAAATTCAACAGTGGTGAACTATTGAGGTCTAATTGATCGTAAAGTGAAATGTAAAAATTTTTGAGTTTGTTGATTTCTAATGATTCAAAATGTTTGAGTTTCATTTCTTTATTTTCTACATGTAGAATTTCGAAATTATCATCAAAACTATAGTTTTCTTCCAATATATGGTTGTCTTATGTTCGAATTTGTTTTCTTTTACAAAAAATGTTCATGAATGCGCTGATTGAACGTACCTGTCTGACCGATAAATATACCTTAGGACTAGCTTAGGACAAGATCCACAGTTGAGTTTGTACCCTAATTTTTCGAATTTAGAAGTTTCGTCGCCAGCGCCAGTAAACAGCGACAGCTTCCTGCCGCGGTCCTCACAAACGTCTCTCGCCAGTCATTCAATTAGGAGCATGCTGCCGTGCTGCGGAAAATGATCCTTAGATCATATGAATGATGGAAGTAAGATAAGGTAAAATCTATGATTTCTCTACGTCACAACGAGCGAGACGTTGATTCTACATTTTTCCGATAGATGGTGATGCTGCTATTGCTGCTGTGGCGAGTGGAAATAAAATGGCAAATGGCATTTCAGGTAGGCGGAACATAATTATGTAACAGTGGGATTATTCAACTCTAAATTCGAAAAATCTGCGACAATTTCAAAACTGACAAACGTCATAGTTCAAGGTTGGTAGAACTGACGATTATTTTGTATCAACTCTACCAACCTTGGTTATAGTTGTGCAATGCCGCCATCTATTAGAAGATCGATGGAACCATTGCTCTCGGTGTTCTCGAGAGGTCGAGTAAAATTTCTGAAACAAAAGCGCATCAGTAATTACACCATATCTTACTTCCATCATTATCATATGTATGATTTAGGATCCTTTCAGCCTGATAAGGAAATACTAACGACCTTGGCCTGAATAAACCTTCCACCTGAAAAATATATTTTTGGTAAAATTACTTAGATGAAAACAGAAGGTATGAGGAGGGAAAATATCATTTCTGCATGAAAAAAGTGACCTCTCCCAACCGAACACGTCCTGAATGATCCTTTTTCTGGAAAATATATTTTTGCCGCCGTGGAAGTCAGATACACAGATCACCGAGTTATCGCGCTACTCGAAAGTTCTGAAGAAATATCGTGTGCTGGGTTATGACAACAAGCAGAACAGCAGCATGCTACTAATTAAATTACTTGCGGGAGCCATTCATCCACTTGTGATGTGTTTTTGAAGGCCAGCATCGTCATTGTGTCAACATCACAAATGTCATTATTGTCATTCGATATTCCCGCCAAATATTTTCTTGTTTGCTTTTGGTAACTTATCTCTGTTTTTGTGAATGTTTTGATAAAATTATTTTATAGGCTCTTAAGTTTTCGTTTAGGTTTCTTTATTATGTACGTTCAAAAATAATTGGAATACTACTTTACTCAAACTCACATTGTTTTTCTTAAACTGTGCTGATTTTTAGTGATAGTTCCAGGCTAGGTTCCAGTTGGTTCCAGGCTCCCGAAAAATGTACATCAAAATCCAGAATTTGTGTTCCTTACAAGGTGAAGGTAGCAGTCATGGTGGCAAAAGTGGTACTGATTACACCATCATTAATATTTCTAAAATGGCTTCAATAAATAAACTCAAAGAAATGATTGAAGAAGAGTTAGCAATCAAAGCAGAGGTACAAAAACTGCTTCATAAAGGGAAGGAGGTGGGTACTCATCTAATTATTATTTCAATGAATTACTTCTTGTACATAATTATATGGTCATTATCAGACTTCTTTCTATTCCTTATTAGTTCAGTCATCTTCTGGTTTCACCCTTGGAAAAATCCAACCCTATAGGTATCAATATGGTGAGCCCCAGGGGCAGTGAATGAGAACACACCACCTTGTCAGGTTTTTTGCTGATTATCATCTTGAACTTTTTGATGAAGTTGAAAAGTGACTATATTATGCAAAATTGAAGCTCATGAGGTCTACTATATTGAATGGTTGAATGGTGCTGTTTCCCCAGATTCTTCAGGAGTTTAAAGGCGTAATCAACAATTTCCTTGTGATGGGTTAAACATATAGATATAACAAGCCTTCTCCATGGCAATTATGGCAGATGGTTATGTGCACTCCATTCCTGCTTTTTAAGATCCACATCTCTTCCCTTCTCCAAATTCATCAGTGTATAAACAATAAAAGAGGATAAGGCAGCTGGTTCTAGTGGTTGTCATTGAAATGTGCTAATCATTCTCAAACATTCAACCATAGTGATCTATATAGAAAAGAGCTAGAAAAAGAGTCTTTCCAGAATTGAACTTGGTCAAAAATCAAGGTGCAGTCAGTGCATTTATCTGGTTTGTTATTTGAAACTATTTCATAAAATATTTTGTAGCAGTGTGAATTGGAGGACCAGGGCCAGATTAAGAATACTTGGCGCCCTGGCACAATATATTATTTTGCCTCCTACACATTACAAGAATTAAAAAATCAAGAATATTATTTTTCTCCAACTACAAAAATGAAGATATGGAAAATATTCTTCTCAAACTGACTTCTCATTTCAATATTGACACTTCTCAGTGACAGATATTGATGCAAACAAGTGTGTTGTTGGATGTTATCATCAATTTATCTTGAATTTAATGAAACATCAAAAGCTAAGTAAAAATCTGACGTTCTTTCAATATACCTATATCCATATTTCTCTTCTTCAAACATTTTTTGATACAAGGTGTCACTGACAATTGATTGAATTTATATTTTAGGCAATTCAATAGAAACATTTTCAAAAGCAGTGACATTTTGCAGTGAATCAACAGGTATAATGAATGAAAGTAAAACTCAGAAGCAATAGATATCATTTCACAAAACTCTAAACTGGCACAAACAAAAAATATATAAGGGATAAACAATATTATTGAGCTCTCTTTCTGGCCTTGAGCACTATAAATGTCTCAATAATGCATGGGTCAACAAGATTAATCAGCAAATCATGTTCTATGTATAAGAGGGAAATGTCCATAGAAACCTGTATTTCTGATTGATCTCCAAATTTAGTTACCATGATATTTATTGATAATTATATTATAGAATTTAATAGAATATTTATTCATCCAATAGTCAAAAGTCATCAACAAAACCATGAAAAATTAGGGATTATACATTCACATGTGGTTAATTTAATAACAAACATTCTGTTGAGAAACAAAATATAGTAAGCAACATGGGGTAAAAAAATGAAGACATACTTATACAGGATACATCAATCTTGTTTATTTTCTATATTCTTCTTATAATTATTAATGAAATCGTCAGAGGATCAATATCCTTGATCACTGAAAAATTCCCTTTTTTTTTGCTTATGATACTTATTAGCAAAATTTTCACCCCAATTCTGAATTCACCCCTGATAGGCAGTTGCCCCTCCTACCCTGTGTTTCATCCGGCCCTGTGTAGGACATCTAACTCAAAGAGGAACAGCTAAAATGAATAATTATCTTTTTAACAGTGAGAGATACGAGGTCCGTTGAATGACACCAAATGTGGAGTTTGTCAAGGCCAACTATAATGTGAAAAAATATTTTGATAACATCTATTCGTTTTTGTTTTATACGCAAAATACAGATTTTGATCATTTTCATGTCTCCTCCATAACTTCTTTATTTATGAAAATATTCAAATAGGAATTTCACATTCTCATGGCAGTTTTTCAAAGTGATCTCGAAAAAAATATGAAATTTATACCAACTCTTCTAGAATTCAAGATATCAGCACCAACTTTAGTTTCTCAAATGTAGGTCATAGCTCACTATGACATAGTTACAAATAACTTCTTTTCCTCTTACAGATGATATGTAGCAGTAATAGTTTTGTGTTGTTAACAACGGAGTTATCGTCATTTATACAAAAACAAAAAATTATTTGGAAGCCACCATCTTGAATTTATAAATTTTAACACAGAAATCATGATCTCCGACCTCAAAAACCCCCACTTACCAATTTTGAATGGATTCGGACCAAATCTTGTCCTCCATCTTGGAGCAGCCATTTTTTTAAATTTCAACAAAAATTCCATAACTCCGATCAACTTGAAATTTGGCAGGTGTTCATAATTTCGGTGGCAATACATTATGGAATTTTTGTAGAAATTGAAAAAAATGGCTGCTCCAAGATGGCGGACAAGATTTGGTCCGATTCCATTCAAAATTGGTGAGTGGGGGTTTTTGAGGTCGGAGATCATGATTTTTTTGTTAAAATTTATAAATACAAGATGGCGGCTTCCAAATATTTTTTTGTTTTTGTATAAATGACGATAACTCCGTTGTTATCGACACAAAACTATTACTGCGACATATCATCTGTAAGAGAAAAAGAAGTTATTTGTAACTAAGTCATAGTGAGCTATGACCTACATTTGAAAAACTAAAGTTCGTGCTGATATCTCAAATTCTAGAAGAGTTGGTATAAATTTCATATTTTTTTCGAAATCACTTTGAAAAACTGCCATGAGAATGTGAAATTCCTATTTGAATAATATTTTCATAAATAAAGAAGTTACGGAGGAGACATGAAAATGATCAAAATCTGTATTTTGCGTATAAAACAAAAACGAATAGATTTTATCAAAATATTCTTTCACATTATAGTTGGCCTTGACAAACTCCACATTTGGTGTCATTTAACCGACCTCCTATCTCTCACCGTTAAAAAGATACCCATGGTGAGCATGGTAAGTGGGACACACTGTATAAAAATGACACAGCCGTTTTGACCAGACACAATCAAATGAAAATCATCTGATATTTTATAACTATTTTTAACACCAAAACTCTTTTTTTTTTAACTCTAACAGTTATCGAAAAAATGGTGTTGTGCTAACCTAAATTGCATGTAAGTTTGTTATTGTAATTCTCATTCATGTCCTTTAAGCACAATCAACAAATTTTAATAATAGGCTGTTAATTCAGATTAAATATTTTTCAAAAATGGTACAGTTGTGATGGGAAATTTTTGACAAAAAAAGTTATAAGGATAGAAAATGGCAATGATGATTATTCCAGAGTCCAGTTTTTTTTTTTTTTTTTTTTTTTTTTTTTTTTTTTTTTTTTTTTTTTTTTTTTTTTTAAAGGCTTTATTCAAATAGTTCACAATCTGATTATTTTCAATTTCGTACATACATGTTTCGGACACTATTTGAAAAACAATTCCAAATCAGCATGTAATGCTGGTCTCGGAACTTCTTAAGTCTACACTTTTTCATTTCATTGTTACTGCCCAATCTGATTTTCGTATATAGTGATGTTATTGTTAGAGATGTTCTTAGACAGTTCATTTTTGAATATTTTTATGTTTTCGGCTTCCCTCAGAGCCACTGGGAGACAGTTAAAAGTTTTGATACATTTAATGAGAGGGTTATTTAAAGCAATGTTCGTTCTTGTGGACTCGATGTATATATTTCGTTGATTCCTTGTCTCATAGGGATGGACTTCATGGTTTAATTTAATTCGTGAATTACACTTCTGTTCAGATTTGCAAACCTTGTACATAAATTTACTCTGTTCAATTTTCAATATTTCTGAGATTGGTAAAATGCCAGTTTGCTTATAAACCAATTTTGTTGGTGTTCTGAATTCGATATTGAATAAAACTTTCACAATTTTATTTTGTAGTTTTTCTGCTTTCTCAAATAGTGTACGCCCACAGGATCCCCATAAGGGAATCAAGTATCTGAAAATAGATAAAAAGTATGCATTATAGATTTGAGTATATAGTTTGTGATCAAGATAGTCTCTACATCGATAGATCGCTCCGATCATCGGTACTACTTTATTTTCAATGTGGTCAATATGTTTACTCCAATTCATTTTGTCGTCTACAACTAGGCCAAGATATTTTGTATTTTCAACTCGTTGTATCTCCTCGCCTCCAATTTTTATGTTAATCTCCTCAAAGTTTGTATTTCTTTGCGTAAACACCATAAAGGTTGTTTTTTTGTATTTATTTTGAGTTTGTTTTTTGTTATCCAATGATTATACAAATTTAAGTCAGAATTTATTCTTATCTCTAAATTTTCGTGGTTTTCGTTACTGTAGATTAGGACGGTGTCGTCTGCAAAAGTAAAGTATCTCCCAAGTAGTTCTACTTTTTCTAGGCTCCTAACATGTAGTGAGTACAGTAGGGGTCCTAATACAGACCCCTGCGGCACTCCACAATGTATACTCATTACTTCGCTTCTAATGCTGTCTATGCAAACATATTGTTCCCGATTATATAGATATGTTTTCAAAAGTGTTAGTAAATTGCCACGTATTCCCATTTTTTCCAATTTTTCGAGTAAGATCCTGTGATCTACTACATCGAAAGCCTTTGTAAGTCAATAAATACCGCTACGTCATTTTTTTCTTCCATCTAGATTAGAGGAGACAAGATTAACCAAATCAATGGTAGCACTCATTGTATTACTTTTAGGTTGGAACCCGTACTGGTATTTGTCGAAGTGGACGTCTTTCTCGATAAATTCAATAATTCTTGACTTTACGATAATCTCAGTAATTTCTGATAGGCAAGATATTACAGTTATTGGTCTGAAATTATCAATTCGACTAGTTGGTCCTGTTTTATGAATTGGGGTCACCCTACCAATCTTGAGAATGTCTGGGAAAATACCCTGTTGAAACGTTTTATTTATCAAGTTGACCAGAATTGGTGCAATTGCA